AAATGTTTTTACAAATTGCAAAGCAATATATGCGATGTATACTAAAAAATGTTTTGTCCTGTAGTTATTGATAGATGGAGAACTGTGTATGCATGGTGCAAGTGCATTCTGGTCAAGCTGTGCCACTTTAACACATCCCAGATATAAAAGGAATGCGCTATGGTTTCAGCATCTGCAGCAGAGGTATCAGCCTTGCTGTCTTTACCCATCACGTGAAAGGGCTCACACTGCCAGTGATTATATGTGAATGACCCTGGTTGTTACAGATAGTTGACTTCTCTTGAGGAATGCTTTATTGCTACAAACAGCAGCAACAAAGTGACTGCTGTAACACAGTGGTTCAGAGATCATCTCACATTTTGCCCACATGATTGTACTTCTCACACAGGTTAGGTTTCAAGATTTAATTATGCAGATCTAAATCAGCTTGCACTTAGCTAGTGTTGTATTAAAGCAGCCTACCAGCAGTTATGAAACAAATGACTTTATGCTAAGATTCAACTAAACATACTAGAGAAACCTGTGACTTAATGTTTAGGTGATATACCGCCATCTTAAAACAACAAGTATGCCTGCAGCACTTAAAATAAGTAAAACAAACTTACCCCTCGCAATGAGATAGGGTTATACATATGCAGAAAAAAGAAGAAAACCAACAATAGTGCAAATAGTGTATGTTAATTATGGAATCACACAGTGTTAGTGATTGGAATGAAACTCACATTGATAAGAGCCTTTTTGTAGATACAGGCTCAAAACTGTTTAACCTCTCTGCCTTTAAGGTGACAATCTTAAAGGACTGTTCATTTAAGGATGAAAATTACTTAATAATTCATTATCATTCAGCAAATAGCATAAAAAAATCTTATAGTTATGGATGTTTGACCTCAGGTTCTTCATTTTTATCTTCACCTTCAAATATCAATATCACATACATTTTGCTCAATTTAGTGAACTGAAGAGAAAAAAATGATACCTTTAAATCTCTATTCAAGATTTTTAGATAAAATGTTAGTTTGACTTGTGATGCTTCTGACATTGAAGTTTTAAAAATCAGATGACAGGAAAATGAAAATGAAAATGATACAGCGATCAACACGATGAAATATGTCAAACAATCCTCTTAACTGACACTTTATAAGTGTTAATACTGTCTACATAAGCTTTCTTTCTGACAGCAAATTGCAAGGTTCTCAGTTGAAGAGTATTAAGACTTTTTACTATACCTCTTTTAACTATTCTAAACAAACTTCTTCAGTACTCCAGAGGTTAAACACTAGGCTGTTATCTGTCTGACATCTTGTCTTGTCAATAAAGAATACATCAGCATCTTCTATTCAGTGTCAGACAGTGTAGGTAGAAACTGCTGGTGGGACGTTAGAGAGGGTAATTTATTTTAATACTAAAGTGCTTTGATCAAGTGTCATTCAAAAAAAGAAATTGTTGTAGATTTTGTACGTTAATCAATGATCTTCAGATAGCCTTGAACAAATGTAGCTGAGTTACAGTGAATGCAATATAATAACTAATAAATTGTTTGTTTTATTTCATATGTAAATCTATTCAGTTGTATCTCGCCTATTATTTATAAACTTTTGACACACCTCAGTAATTGATACTCGCATATAATTAAAATCACACATTTAATAGTGCTTTCGATAATCCATTATTACATTTTACGGCTGTAATCAAATCTCCAGAAATTTGCATTTAAAAAGGAAAAAGGACTGCGAAATGTTGTAGTGTACAATATGTAAGGAATAAAAATATAGGTTTTAAATAGAGTGAACTATATTTGATAAAATATTTTGATGGTGCTTACATTATGTTATATTATTTGTAGTGTGCTAGGTTATCTGTATGTGTTCAGAATGCCCCAAAAGTTTTCTTTGGTCAAATTCAGCAATAGATAAACAGAAGCACTTTCCAGTAACTGTTCTATAGTAATAGAATATTTCTCAGTGGACCAAATATAGCAATTTGTCTCCACATGTGCCCCATTATGCCCACTATGTATAATTTTTGAGTATTAGTGCTGGTCATGCTTGCCTGATTCATTTTAGATTAGTTATGTTACAAATATCTCAAGGGGTGGACTGACAACTCACAGGGCCACCAGGCAACTGAATACCCTTGTGCTTTCCTACCGTGTGTCTCATCACATACAAACACTGCAAACCCTCCTCTATATGTCCTGGCATAAAGCATTGTTTTGTCATCAACCCATCAAACAGTGAGCGTAGCACTATCTATTTATTTAATTATTATTAATAAGCATTAATAAATATACACATGTGTTGCTTTTCTTTTCTTCTTTACTGTACCTTTTGAAGGAGGAGGAAAACCAAGATCCGTTGTATCAAGACACAGTGCAGACTTGGAGGGTTTGAGTGGGAAGATGACTGTGTATTGCACTGCAACATTATATTGGTATAATGCCTGTGTGTGGCTGTGAACTTTTTCATCTTAATAAGGCTCAGTGCCTTTTATGTAAATTTTCAATGTCATACAGCTTATTCATTTCCTATATGCATTTAATATCTATACAATCAACTGCATTTGAATAGTTCATTATTGTGAATCTCTGATTCACAATTAGATGACTGGTTTGTCGTAAAGTGATGGAATCATTATAAGCAATTAGTAGACTATATTAAGGGTTATTACTACATTATTTTTCATAATCCAATTACATCGGTTTCACAAAAAAAGAGCTTGATAGGACAATTGAGTATATGAGAAATATTTGAGAATGATTTGTTTTGTCCAATGTTTTTGTTGCTTGTCAATAACTCTTGTCAGTATTAACCCTTTTTTCAGATGTTAGGGCGTGCTATGCCATGCTACAAAAAAGAGGGCTTTTTTGATTTGGCCCTCACTGCAGCCAGCATACTTACCCTCCTCAGTGGATCTGATCGGGGAGACTGTTTGACAACTGAGGCAGACCCCTTGCAGCCAATCATGCGAATCCAAGTCAAATGATAGGGGAACCTGGGTTGTCAGGCAGGTCCCCCAACCTATAATTTGTAAAATCACTTAATTTTGTATAAAACATAGAAATATACACTTACAAACATATATAGATATATATACACAAATATATATATATATATATATATATATATATATATATATATTTCCTGGCCATATCCATGGCAGCACAACAATGGGTTAGCTCCTCCCTATCCCTAATAGCTTCCTAGACAGGAACAGAATTAAAATAGAGGTATAAATACCCCCTCCCACCACCACTCCCTCAGTCTTTTTGTTCCTGTCCTATCCCTATAGGACTCGTCATTATAGACTAGAACATTTTTACTTTTTGGCTTACCTGAGGGTTTTTACCTTTGGCCCCAAGGGAGTTCAGTCTCTCTTCCTTGAGAAGTCTCCAGTACGTGGCCCTGCGCAAAGGAAAACCCCCTGGAGATGCTCCTTTAGTGACCGGGAGCCAGTTGCAGTGACCCTAGGGGTAGCAAGAGAAAATTGCCAATAAGAACAATTCCCTGCAGTGACCAAGCGGTAGCAGGAAGTGGCAGAAGATTCTTCCTATCTTTTACCTGGCATCCACAGTATCCAATATAGATATCAAAGGTATGTCCTCCTCCCCCTCCACCTTCCCCAGTAGTAAAATTGTCTTACCATTTTCTTTTTTTTCCTCTCCATTTTCATTTTTTGGGTTAAAATTTTGAATGCCCTGGGTTCTGGGAGCCGCCATCTTGATTGGCGTCCTTGGGCCGCTCTGCGCTTGCGCCGACTAGCGTGCGTGCGTGTCATGTATGGTTTCCGCGCATGCGTGGACCGGCGGGCGCGTCATACTTACTTCCGCGCATGCGCAGGGTATAGGTTCCGCACATGCGCATTGCGGTCAGCCTAGGAATCCGGGGACATCATCGGTGACGTCACATGCCCTTTGTAAAAGGCGCCAAAATCAAACAAATTTACCTTTCTCAGGTTAATCTGTCAACTGGAAGTTTTCTCAGTACTATTTTCTCCAGTTTTGACTATCAGCTTCAGTCTTCATTTGCTGAGCCTCAGGTAGGTTTTTTCTCTCTTAAAGGAATATTCCCTTCTTTTTCAAAATTGGATTTTTATACTATTTAGCATAAATATTTCAATTCCTTTCTATATTACAGCAGAAAAAATGGAAAAAGACATATCATTCTCATCGGACTCTGAGGCATCTTTACATAAACAAAGGTCACAATCTAAAGGTTATAGGTAAGCCAACGTTTTTCTCTCTATATATATAATTACATTGCATTGGAGAGTGCCTGGACTAATTATATTCCCTATCATTATAGCTCTACAGGAATTCAAGCATCTGGAACTTCCAAAGGCAACAACTCCAGCTGCTGGGATTCTGCTCCTAAGGTAGATGCGGCTGTAGTAAGACTGGCCAAGCACACAACCCTACCAGTTGACGATGCAGGAT